CTGCGGAAAGCAGAAACAAGATTCTCAAACTATCTTGAAAATTTCTGCCACTTGGCTATGCGAGAAATTCTGTCCATAAAAAAAATATTTAAAAAACTAGTGACAAGGGGTAGTCCTAGCAGTCCAGGAACATGTCTACATCGCCACTGACACCGGCCTCCTGCTAAGTAGGGCTGGGTATTGTCACTGATTTCTATAATCTATTCGATAACAAGGTCCTGAATCGATTTGATCCATGATTCGATTCGATTCGATTCGATTCTTTTTTTTAAATTTTTTTTTTATTGCCTGTCCCGTTTGGCTCTTTTGCCATCAGAATTGTTGTCTAAAGGCAAAGAAAGATGCCCAACGGATTTACTTTACCAAATTGACCATCCCAGCCTTGCCGTAATGGTCCATTTGATTCACCTTTTATTGTTTATTTTATTTTCACTTACTGAATACGGGAAGTGATGGGGAAAGAAGGGGAGAAAGAAAGAGGGAAAGAGAAACAGCTGAGAAGAGGGACGGGGGAGAAGGGCAAAGACAAAAACCAACAGAACGGGCAGAAAAAGAAAAAAAATGCATATATCAATCACCTGGATCACCTGTTGAGAAAGAAAAAAAGAAAGACAAGCAGAAGAGAACAAGAGTAATAGAATAAACAACATCACAATGATATATGGGAATATGACAGTAAATACTAAATATTAAACATTATTGTGCAGCACATAAGATCAACAGAACACAGTGTGCTTTGAGGTAGGAGCCAAAAAGGGTGTAGTTTGTGGGTGTGACACCCGTGTGTACACCTGTGAGCATGGACGCGTTGTTTTTTTAAAAGGTTCCTTCATGTAATGATCTGCTAGAGGTGTGGGGGCAGCCTCGGGCATGAAGCAGGTATGGAGGAGATCAAAACTCCAGACATCCAGAGGCCCCCAGAACAAAGAGACACCAACGCACCGATGTCTGAGGGAGTCCGCCACTGGCAGGGGAAGTGGTGGTGGGGGGAGATAGGCCTCCAAACCTTGGAGGGCCTAAGATGTCCCCAGAGAGGTGGCGCCTGACACCCAACCTGACATATAGACACAGACATACAGGCACACACAGATACAAACATCCATTCCCACCCTCATGCTCTCATATGCACTTACTCCACACTCAACCAATCGTGGAGACAGACATAAAGAGACGCTGTACACACGATCACACTCCCCAAGCGTACTCTACGAACCGGGTCTAGGTACCCTTGCCCCTGGAGGGGGGAACTGCACCCAGACCCAGGTGGTGTTACCCTTTTCCCTGCGGTGGGGGAGGCAGACCGCCCCGACTCCGCAGCAGCAGGAAGGCCCCACACTCCAGACCGCAGTCGGACGGCCAACTCCTCCTCCTAGCCCCCCCGCTCCAGCAGGTCGCAGAGAATGGGGGTGAGAGAAGACTCCAAACCTCCCTCCACCCGCTCATTGTAGTGTTGATGCATGTGTGTTCTAAGGTGCATTTAAAACCCAGGAGGGCTGGAGCTACCTGCCAGAGAGCAGCAGGTAAGCGCATGGTCCCTCCTGCTAGCCCTCAATGTCTACGTGTATTTAAAATTGAGAGGTGGGCAACGACGCCAGGGGTGGGGTGTACACCCTGATGGTACTTTGGATTCCGTGTATCGTGCCCACCCCCAAGATCCTATATGTATGTGTAATGAGAGTGTGAGTAATGTGAATGTCTAAGTTGTGGGATAAAATTGAGGCAGAGGCAGCCAGAAGGGGACAGAGATTCTTGGAAATTTTGCCTCAGACAGTGAGAAATATTATAATTCAGATCACGCATCAGTACATTTCCATAAAAAGAAAGCTGACACTTGCGAGACTTTATCAAAGGTGTGAGCATCACAGCAGATGAGCTGAGGATAAAACAAAGAAAAACATGAAGGTGATTTTCCTGGGATTTTATAAAAAATATTCTGCAGTAGATCAAAAATGAAAGAAAACCATTAATCAACATAATTATGAACATTACCTGATGCTGCTGAAGTGAAGCAGAGCAAAGTTACAGAGGTTTTATTAGAGACACAGCTAAGCGTTTTGCAATTTTGCATAATTTTAAAAAGTTTAAATTTGTTCACTAGCCTATTGAACAACAGAAATGGGGTTTTCTTTTCGGAAGTAAGTAAAAGGAAAAAAAAAACACAGCGTCCAACAGCGCTGTAAATAACAGTAGACTTGTGCACAACAAGCAAGGGAATAATGCAGAAAACAGATTTTTAGACGGGAAACTGTTCTTGAAATGTACTGAGAGAGAGAGAGAGAGCTGTGCATGAAGTGTGGTGGAAGCAAAACAGTAAAAGTCAGAGGGAATTCATGATGATGTTTATGTGAAGCGTAGTTTGGATCTTTTGCTGCTGGTTCAGTCAATATTGTTTGGAGAGAGATAAAACCTACAGCTTCAGAATCAGCGCAAAAAGGGCGTAAACAACGCGCGGACCCGCCGAAACATCAGAATCAGCGAGCTGTCAGCTTTAAGCCCCGACCGTGTCCGTGCTGTCATGTGAGAAAGGCGACATCTCACTGATTCTGAACCGTCAGCGGGTCCGTGCTTTGTGTTTACGTCTATGTGCAAAATCCGTGTACCTGCTCTCATTTACTGTTTTAGTTGTTTGGTGGTTGTTGAAATTTTGTGAGGTTTAACCTGAGATTCTGGCATTTCGGGCAAAATAAATTTATATAAAAAAATCAATTCAGGATTTTAATGAATCGATATCACGTTATCCAAGCTAGAATTGATTTTAATCGATAAATCGATAATCAAAACCCACCCCTACTGCTAAGCCACCTGTAGCTCTGTTGTCAACATTCTCCTGTCAAGCCACGCAAGGCTTCATGTTTCTGATGATGGCGACTTGCCAAACCCGAAGATCAGGCCACCTGAACTGCCTTTGGGTTTTTTTGTTTGTTTTTTTTGGACTCTTGTGCTTGAGATTGTCTTTGTTCAATTCTTAATCTAACAAATGTACTTCTGGAAGAATGGTCAAAACTTCCCATAAATACACACCTAAACCTTGTAAAAGCCTTCCCAGAAGGTGCAAAGGGTGGGCTGGCATCACATTAGACAGCCAGTTAAGGCTTTGTCAGGAGAGGAAGGAGGAGTAATGCTGACTCTGGCATGCTGGGTTTTAATAACAAAGAAAGAACGTGAAAAGTGAGAAAGATTGAAAAAACAAAAGAAACAGTTCTTTCAGAAGTAAAAAGTTTGGACCAGTTGGATGGGATACTATACACAGTATATACACTACCAGTCAAAAGTTTGGAAACACCGTCTCATTTAATGTTTTTTCTTTATTTTTTACCTCTTTTCTACATTGTAGATACGAACTGAAGACATCAAATATATGAAACAGGAAATTTGGAATTATGTAGCAAAGAAACAATTGATAAATATCTCATGAATAAATAAATATGCTTTATTTTAGATTCCTGAAAGTAGCCACCTTTTGCTTTGTCGATAATATTGCAAACCCTTGGCCTTCTCTCAATGAGCTTCATGATGTAGTCACCTGAAATAATTTTCTCTTTTTCTGTGGTGGAAAAGTCAGGTTGGTACACAGCTGACAGCAGTATTTTGACAACTTCATAATATAGCAAGAACCAATCAGGTCAATTGGTCCAGAAAATTGCAAATTGTAAATGTGTGCAGTTGCAAAAACCATCAACTACTCCTAAAAACTGTCCTCAACTAGACCTCAACTATGTCCAACAGTCGCTGTTTATTGAATCTGATTTGTGGGTTCAACCAGCCCCACGCTATGACAGAGGTCCAATAATGTCTGGTAGTGCCAGATGGATCTGACACATTGGGATAAAAGGACAAAGCTGAAAGAGCAGTTCAACACACTGATCTCCAATTGAAGCTCCTGCACATTGGATCTGCAGTAGAGACTGACAATCATACACCTGGTAAGCAGAAATGTTATTACACCACCAGCAGGAAAACCAACAACAGAACAAAAGCAACATCAAAGTCAAATCTGGGTCTTTTACCCCAACAGAGCAAACAGGCAGAGAGGTTTTTATTACTCTTCAATTATTGCGTAAAAATGTAACTAAAAGTTACAGCTGCTTACGTTTCTTTAAGCAGGTGTGCTGGGGTCCTCCTAAGGAAAGTTTGAAACTTCATTTCCTTCATGCTGGTGAACTTTTTACCAAATATTTTCATCAAAGCTTCTCCATCACTGACAGGGATTGTTTGGATCTTCACACTCATCTCCACCAACCCTAAAAAATGAGTCTCACTTTGCTCATATAATGCCAGGAGTGTCTCCATATTTCAGTCTGTGCAAACATGTAACAGTATCCCATATTCATATAAATATTATTGATATTATAACATAAGCTGTCACCAACACAATTGTCCCAAGTGCTTTTTTTATTAGTTATTGCAAATGCTTGATTGCAGTTCTTGCTAGATGACAAAACCACTTATTAGGTTTAGAAGGAAATGACTTTTTCTACATGAGGTAAAGTTGGAGAGCTGTTTCCCCAAACTAAATGAAATCAGCATTTAAAAAACTACAATCTGTATTTACTCTGAACATCTGTGTTAACATTTGAAATTGGAAACATGTAAGTGTAACAAACATGTTAAAACATAAGAAATCAGGAAGGGACATGTATAGGAATTTCTTTTACTTATGTATTAATCACATTATTTTATTGTATGATACCTTGGTGTCAATGGATTTTAACATGTCTCACACTCATACAGTAAGACAAATGCAAATTCCTCTACTGTAAAAATTCATTTGACTGCCTGCAAAAAAGGAACTGTACATTGTTCATCCTCTTTTTAATAAAAATATAAGTAGAGCACAGGAAATATGTGGCACTCTGCCCTAAACATTTAGGATAAAGTATGGCAGTGAGAGAGAGTAAAGAGTTATAGGATCTCTGCTTTGAGCCACTAAAACTCCTAATATTAGCTATTCCCGCCACATCAGGCAGCTTTTTGATGATTAAATTTACTGCAACTGGAAATTCACTTTAATATCCAGTAAATTACATGCGACAAATGTTACTGAATGAAACTGATGTTATCAAAATGTGTAAACATAACAACCGGTTTAAATTAGAACTATGTCACCTTTATACTTCCTGAAGGGCTTGGAAACCTTGTGATTTTAACCTCAGTTGGGCTCAGACCACACAGTGCTGTCTCTTCCTGTTAAAATGTATTTCTACTCTCCCACAACAGAGCATTAGACTCTCCCCAAAAGAAAGTTTCACAATCGGTGTAAGACCATTGACTTCTCCCTCATCAACATACTTTAAGAGTAGTGTTTTTCCTCTCCAACAAAAGGTGGACAAATAAAAAAGACAATGACACAAAAGTAAAGATACAAACACAACTTGAATGCAAATTGTATTTGTTTTATTTTTTGCCATATCCTCCACAAAACAAAACCTTATCTGCAGGTTATCACAAAGCACGAGTCTATCTGGTGGCAGCGTACACAACATGTGGCTCCAGCTCTCTCTGTGTCACAGGCCTCCGGTTTCTTTGGACGTTTTTCTGGAAGTTGAGAGCTGCGTAGTTCAGATCGTCTGAGCTCACATTCTGAAAACCAGAATATTTACACAGCTGAGTTTGCTACGTATATATCACGTATTTGCTGATATGTGGGTTAAACCAAAAATGATTTTACATAAAATGTGATTTTTAGAGTTTAATACTAAAACATCATACTGGAAGAACACCTGTGCTGTCCAGTGTTAAACACAATTCAATTAGATTATACAGTAAAAAAAGAGTTTAGCTTCAGTAACATAGGCCAGAAATTGGAACTAATGCGGCTATGTAGGTAAAGATGTCTTTTAAAAAAAACATTTTCAGAGAAGAAAACAAAGATCTTCAGAAGAAGGAAACTACTGAGCAGGGATAGCTCAGTAGGTAGAGTGGTTGCCCTACAATTGGGAGGTCGGGGGTTCAAATCCACTGAACAGCTACCCTGAGATACCCTTGAGCAAGGTACCGTCCCTACACACTGCTCCCCGGGCGCCTGCTTAGTGGCTGCCCTCTGCTTCACTGAGTGTATGGGTCAAATGCAGAGAAAAACAAGCAATTTCCACATGGGGATCAATAAAGTATACATTATTAATTCTACAGTTACAATGACCTTAACAAACTCTTAGACACTTCTCTTTCCAACATTAATATATCCTGACATATTGGTTGCGCATTCTAAGGAAAAAGAAAACAACAGGAACAACAAAAAACAAATAAACATTTACCTTGTTGCTTTTTGGTTCTTGTTCTGCCACTAAATACCAAATACAAAAGTGTCATTAGTTCATTATTACCAGCGTACAAGAGAAGGTACAAGATTTACCTGCCAAAAAGAAGTTAAACAAATTAAAGCCATGTGTACCTTTTTGAAGTTTCCAGATTTTTAAAACCAGAATAATAACCACTATCGTGAGTAAACCAGCCAGACTACCCAGGATGGTGCTTAGCAGGTGTGTCATTCTGTCAGACTCTTCTGCAAAAAACAAATACAAACAAAAACCCATCAGTCCACTTTAGTTGGATTGATTGAAACATAATATTGATATTAACTTTTAGCACATTGAACAGCAAAATTTTAGAAGCCATAAAATAATTTTACTTTCCGTCTTAAAATCCTCTCCTTCATTGGTTTCACCGCCTGTAAAGAAACATGGCTATTATAATATTTTGTGATTTCCTTTTTGTCTCTGAGCTGATTTTGGATTACGTATGAACATAAAACTAACCTGGAAGACAAAAGTCCTCCATACAACCTTACCTTGAATTCTTAACTCGACTGCATTGGAAATGACCGTATGCTTATTCACGTAAAATCCACAGAAATACAGCCCGACATCAGATAAATCCACTTGTGTGATTTTAAGAAACACAGAGGTGTTGTTGGAACTCATATTGAATTTTCCATTTCGAAATCCATCACAGAATGAAGCTTTGCCCTGAGATCCATACATAGCAGCAATGCAGCTGGGCTTAGTTCTGTTGATAACTTTGAACCAGTCTGTCTGTGTTGGATGACTCGAAATGTTGGAGCACTTCAACGTGACTTCTTGATCAAGTTGGACCTCCACAGTCTGAAACTCAGAACCTGAAACAGAGATCCAGCCTGGAATGACAGAACATAATGTTTATGTCTGAGCCTACAGTGTTACAGGAGAACAACATCAACTACATCTGTTTACCGGCGTTTCTCATTCCATTATTTGAGAGTACTGAGGTGCCAGTACTTACTGAGGCTGGAGAGAAATAAAGCTGTGCTCAAGACGAAGCTCCTCATCATGCGTTTAATCCTGTAACTGCATGGATAGTTTGTATCACACAGCTCTTATATGGGGGTTAAGAGGGGCGGGGAGTCTTTTGTTTGTGTGTGTGTGTGTGTTGGCTTTATATTTTGTGTTTCATCTTGCCATTGCCGCCCTATACAATGCAATAGCTTTGCATGTTTTAGCTTAAGCGAATATCCATTAACATAAAATTTCCACTTTATCATTTTACATTATGTCTGCTTGAGATAAGATTTTCAGAAAATTATACAAATACTTAAAAATCCAGTCTGCAGCTTCTGCAGTTAGAAGTATTTATGCGTTTCTAGTCCTTAAAGGTCTAAAAGGAAGCAAGAAGGGGGTGCATTGGTTTTATGCTTGGTGCATTTATTAAGGATCCCATTTATCATGTATTATAATGTATTATAATCTAAACTTCAGCTCTAAATTGTCTTTGATCTAGTGACACAGGACACAAAATAGAAAATATAAAATGTACACAAGTATTCACGACCTTTCCTCAATACTTGAAGCGCTTTTGGCAAGCTCAAGCTGCATCAGACTGGACGGGGAGGATTGTGCACAGCTATTTTCAGATCTCTCCAAAGACATTCGGTGGAGTTCAAGTCTGGGCTCTGGCTGGGCTACTCAAAGACATTCACAGAGTGGTCCAGAAGCCACTGCTTTCTTGTCTTGGATTTCTGCTTAAGTTTTTTGGCCTGTTGGAAGATGAGCCTTTGCTCCAGTCCGAGGACCACATTGCTCTGGAGCAAGTTAATATCAATGATGACTTTGTACATTGCTACATTTATCTTTCCCTCGACCTTGACAAGTCTCCCAGTTCCCACAATATAATGTTGCCACCACCATGCTTCATTGTAGGGATAGTATCCTTGTAGCATTATTCTCAGACTTGTGGCTGTAATTGCTGTCAAAGGTCCTTCAACAAAGTATGGAGCAAAGGCTATAAATTCTAATGTATATGTTATCCTTGACCTAGCTTTGACCCAATATTGGTCATGTGAAACATCACATAAGCCAAGATGAGAAAAAAGGCAATTATCATCATTCATGGTCAAGGGTGAAACGTCTGTGAGACCTTGCCCCACCTCATCATGTGACTTGTTAAAGTTACTGGAGGCAAGATATGAAGAAAAGGTTGAATTTGAAGGGAAGGGATCATAAGACTGCATTGTGTGTAGCTGACAGCTGATGTTATAAGCCACCACCTCTGTTCAATGGCATTCTTGAAAATATTGCTTTGCATTTTGTACAGATATGACCTTTTTACTCTAGTATCACCATGAATATGACTTTTGTGGTTCCCGTATGTCCTTAACCTGCTGTTTGAGCTCTTAGGTATAAGAATACCAGTCCTTTATTCTATGTTGTTTTTTTGTTCACACTGTGGTGGCACGAAGGAGGATAACCAGGGAAGGTGACTAAGGCATGTTGACAACACCGCCTGGGGAGGGAGCTACACCCCACGAGAGATTTCTATAGCCAATGTGGATGTTATACTAGCTACCATAGCCCACAGGCTCGTTATTAGCAAGCAGAGGTGAGGCAGATCAATTTTACAAATCAAAATTTATTAGGAAAAACTATTAAAAGCATAGAACTGTAAAATCAGAGAACTTCTTAAGGTAGCAAGGCTGAGAATGCAAGACTGTTAATTAAAGCACTTTATTAACAAACAATGACTAAAACAACAAGGCTCGCTGCCACAGTGCTACCCTAGTAAAATAGAAGCTCGATAGAATAACTAAACAAAATGGTGGAGACCGGCCACTTGAGGAGGCAGCCTACAGAGAGGAGTGCCCAAGGGTGCCACCAATTACTCACCCGTCTAGTTCCACTGCAAACCTCACTGTCACTCACACTGCAATCTAAGTGGTGCAATCTACCTATTCCTGCTGTGTACACTCTCATGCATCGGGGGGGTATTCCACCTCACGTGGCTAACCCCACAGCAAGAGGCCGTACCTCCACTAAAGCAACAAAACAACAAAACATATACAATATTAAACAATTCAGTAAAAGAGATAAACAAAACAAATACAGCCTAAGATACACTTCTTTATAAAAGCATGATTAAAAGACCATGAAACCATGAGTCAGTCAAGGCCAGTCCATAAACTTTTATAAAATGACAACAAGACTGAAAAAAGACAGCAGCAGTGGCACAATCCACTCTCTAGAGGGCAATACTAAAATGAGCAGCTTTCCTGAAGAATCAAACTGCTCTGCAGTGCTTAGCCATCTATCACGCTCGGCCACCTTGGATGTGAAAAGTATGCCAAATTCTCCGTGTGGTAGTGAAGCGCAGCTGTTTCTTATAAGGCCTCTAATTATCTGCTGGGAAGGTGTGGATGTTAGCGCTGCATTCGCGGACGTCATGTAAAAGCCTATCCAAAATCTACTTCACTACAACAAGCTAAACAATTTCAGTGAATACCTGAAAATATTTGGCTCTTGACCAGACTATGGACAAAGGTCTTCGCTTTGTATAAGTTCAAAGCATAAATACTTTACATGTTTACCTTCACACAAGTAATGTGACAGTGAGTGAAGTGATTTACCAATTGTCAGATGAGACTGGTATATCCTTTAAAGGGAACTGTGTGTTTGTGGTTTCTGGTGAATATGTTATTTTTGGGTCACATAGTATTCGCACATAGTCACTTCTGGGCACTGGAATATTCTGTGATTATTTTATAGTATCTCAGATGTATAAATATAGCTGCTGGTTTTAATAGATCACATTAATGTTGATTTTATACTTTTTTAAAGCATTTTTTACTATTGAAGCCTCATGATTGTCACCTCAGTTGTGCCCAGACCACATGTTGCTGTTACTTCCTGTCAGATGTCAGACTGACACATGTATGTCACTCCACCCACAGCAGACCATTAGATTCTCCCACGAGGAAGTCAACAGACATCACTCTCATTTCTGACTCACTCACTATAATCACTTAAAGTTTTTTATTTTATTTCATTTTTTTATCACAAAAAATCATGTGAAGATAACAAAAAAGCAGAGGATGCAAACATGGACTGGATGCACATTTATTTAGTTATTTTGTAAGACATTTATGTGAACCACGACACATACAAACAAAAAGAAAAAAAAATCATCTGAAAATTAACAAGATTAAGGTATATTCTGTTCAGAGCTGGAGCTGCAGGTGCTTCCTCAGTCTATCTTGTAGCAGCATACACAACGTGAGGCTCCTGCTCTCTCTGCGTCACAGGCCTGCAGCTTCCTTTGGTCTTTTTCTGGAAATTCAGAGCTGCGTAGTTCAGATTGTCTGAAGTCATGTTCTGAAAATCAGGATATTTAGTTAAACACTATATGAGACAACCAAGGTGGATTTGTGGGTTATGTGAGTTTTAGAGTGAGATTTTTAGAGGTAAATATAAATATAAATGAGAAATCACATATACAGTACAAATTATTTTCTTTCTTTTTTTTCCGTTTTGATTGAAAAAGTTTAAAAAAAAGTCCTTTTGGAAAAACGAACGTGTTTAAAAAGCTTCCCAAACAGGAAATATGTCATAAGGACCAACTCTTCACAGTGAACGCTTCAACTAGCATTCACCCACATTACATTTTAGAGTTATAATTGGAGTTTTGCAAACTATAGATTTTGCCTGTTTTTAAAAAAACAAACAAAAAAAATTAACTTTTTATTTCGTCTAGATGAACTATTACTAAATAATTTAAAGTTATTAAGTTTTTCTACATTTCTGATATTACTTAAAGTCAAAGAAAATAAAAGATTACAATTGCTTGCTTGGGTTTACTCTATGATGCAACAGGTCGAGGCTATTCACAGAGTAATTATGCATTTCAATGAAGCTTTTGAATCACAGAAAACAGTTGTTAGTTGTAAAAAAAGAAGAAAAACTCAAAAAGTGAGTTTACCTTGTTATTTTCTTCTTGCTCTCCAGCAGCTAAATGGAAATACCAAAAATTATTGCTTGTTATTAACAACCAAATACATTGTTTTGGACAGGTTAATCAGTTTAGAAGATGAGTGAAGTAATTTGTAAGTAACCTCACCTTTTTGAGATTTCCAGATTTTTAGAACCAGAATAACGACGACTAAAGTGAGCAGACCTGTCAGACCTCCAAGGGCGATGATTATGAGGTTTGTCGTTCCACTGGGCTCTTCTACAAAAATAATTAGATAAAAGCATAATTTTTATGATTACTTTAGATATACTATTGATGATAGTGAAATAACTACATGGAAACTGAAAAACATCTTTTGAAACAAAAAAATCAATCTTACGGTCAGTCTTATTAAAATCCTCTTGTTCACTGGTTTCATTGTCTGTAAAGAATCATCGTTATCATATCATTTTGTGATTGCATGACATGTTTTCATGCTAAACATGATGAAGAAACGAAATAAAAATATCTAAATCATGAACAAAAGCTTACCTTCAATTCTTAACTCAACTGCATTGGAAATGACTGTGTGCCCACTGATGTACAATCCACAGAAATACAGCCCGGCATCAGATAAATCCACTCGTTTGATTTGAAGGAAGACAAAAGAGATGTTGGAACTCATATTAAAATTTCTGTTTCTAAATCCATGACAGAATGACGCTTCGCTGTCAGATCCATACATAGAAGAAACACAGCTGGGCTTAGTTTTATTGACCACTCTGAACCAGTCTGTCTGCGTTGGATAGGTGGAAATGTTGGAACACTGCAGTGTGACCTCGTCCCCGTGCTGGACCTCCACAGTCTGAAACTCAGAAGCTGAGATCCAGCCTGAAACAGAAAAACAGATACAACATAATACTTATTTATGTAATGGACAGAGAGAATTACATTCGTTTAATATTAAATCAGAATAATGATATTCTGTACTTACTGCACCTGCAGAAAACCACTGCTGTTATTAAAGTGAACCTCCTCATTCTGCGTGTAACCGTCTTACAGCCAGGAAACTTTATGTTCTGTAGGGGGGTTTCATTTCATTAGAAAGGGGTGTGGTATTGAATACATCATGCCAGGAGATTTGAATCTACACAGCCTATTTTCATCAGTACCGTTTAAAATGTCAGGCAGCAATTCATTCACACTCGTGCAGGTTTATAGAAGAGTTATCGACGCCTTGTGTTCAAGTAACAGCACACCAGAAAGTGAGACAATAAACATGAATCTGGTGCTGTGCTTTATTGGCAAGAGAAGTTGTTTTGAAGATATGTAAGATTGCTATTTAGGTACTCCCCTCACGCGCTAAGAAACCAGCTGATTCCACTTATGTCCAACTGCAAATAGTCGCTTCTGCTTCTTATTGCAGCTCATGAGCGTCTCATGTGTCCTCATAAAGATTCAGGTTATCCATTCTTTGCTACACAAGTTGATGATAATACTTTCTCTTTCTGTTTACTGCTGATCATTATCAAACTTACCAAAGCTGCATAGTGTCAATAGTACTCAGTCAGCTATGTAGCCTTTTGGGATACCAGTGCCCAGTATGGAGGGGGTCAAAGGTGAACAGCCACAACGCTCTGAGGCACTAATGTTTATTCAATATTTGTTAGTAAGAACGCTTTTTAATTGTTCATTCTGTTCTATCTCGTGTTTCATGAACACAAAGTCTTCCAACATGTTCTTTTTTAATGTAGTTATCACAACCTCTGTTTCCTTGTCATGTCTAAGTTATATCACTTAACTAAACAGTGGATGTATAACAACACTGAACCCTCTAGCTGATGTGTGTGTTTGAACGGGAGGCTGACCAGGAATTGCATGTTAATGAGGTCAGTATGTTAAGTTAAATGCTTTCATGAAAAAATGACAAATTTATTATCAGTTATATTAAAAACAAATTGTTATGCTCACTTCTAGCTCTGGTATTTGATTCTTTAATGCCAAATAATCTGTATTTATCTTTTACTGGGTCTGATAGGCCCTTGGTTCATCTGCCGTCTGAAATGAGTCTGCAGATTTTCTTGGGAGTTGCTGCCTTTTCTAAACAGAAAGCTGACCTGAATGTGCGGCTTCTGTTCTTTTAGGGAGATCAGTTCTTGCTCACAGGTAGAAAACACTGGAGTGGAAGGAGCATTTTTTACATTCAATAATCTCATTTTATGAAACTTTGGATTTGTTTGATATGAGCATTCATATCAAACATATAATGCTATATACATGGAAGAAAATGGGAAAAGGGTTTATAGGCCTAGTTGAATATATGCAATTTTAGGTCTGTTAGAAAATCAGACCGTTTATATCACAAATAGCTCTGTTTGTGGATGCAGCTTCTAATACTCTATAAGACCTCCAAGAGTCTTCTTTATCAGCTGATTCTCTGAGATCATAGTCTGGCTCTATGAGTCAGTCTCAGCAACACGACCACCTGACTCACCACACATTTCAGCTTGTTAGCTCTAGGAGGCACTCCAGATCTCTGTATACTTAAGAAGATCTGAATTCCACTGCAGTAAATATTTAGCCTGAGTCAGTTTTACTGGTGTTTTGAACAGTTTGAACAACTTTTCACCAGGACATCATTCTTTTTGGTCTGAAAAGAACTTTGAATTTGCTCTCTGTGTCAAGTTCAATTAAACTGCATATAACTACATATAACTGACAAACAATATTAAATGTTTAGTAAACAAATGACTTCACGAGGACTTAAATATAAATTTGTTTCTCAAATATAAGTGTTTTGTCTCATATACATAGTTACAGTCAGGTATTACAAAAAAGACTTCCACGTATTTATTTTATTATTATTTTTTAATTTTAAAAATAGATAATATAACTGCATGACTACTTAAAAAGTGGAGAAATGTAGAATATTCTGTATTTGACATGTGTGGCTTTGCTGTAAAACGGATTTATTTTTCTATGACACTGAGACGGAAGTTTAAAACAACACACGGGGTGACCCTTTTAAGAACCAATCAAGAGTAACCCAGTTTTTATGCTGTTGGCTGCTCTTTTCCTCCAAATCTTCAGTTGACGAGACCTCTGAAAAGATGCATCTCTGTATCATCCTCTGTGGGATATGTAAGTGTCTCAGTAGAAGATTCATGTATATTGAGGTAGGTTATATTTTCATACCTGATTATGCTTCTTTAACGATGTGTATTTTTCTGACACAGTTCATCTGTCAGCTGTGATCCAGTCAGCTACAGTCAAGCAGGAGACTGGGGTGAGATTTGCTGCTGTTGGGGACAACGTGACTTTGCGTTGCTTTTATGAAAGCCAAGTGGCGATGCACTTCTCCTGGTACCGACAATTCTTAGGAAGCCAACCTAAGCGCCTCTCTACAATTTACAAATATGATAAGCCATCTGAAGTCCTCCACACATTGGAGAAGAACCCTCGTTTCTCTGTGGAAAGAAAGGAAGGGACCAATCATCTACAAATCTCTGGTGTCCGCCTCTCAGATTCAGCTACATACTACTGCGGGAGCTCACACTCCAACATGGTGGAATTTGGAGAAGGGATCTTTCTGAGTGTTCGAGGTATTTTGCTTCTATTTTTCATGAACACCTTTTATTCCATGTTCCTTTAGCGTTCCCGTGCTTAGACTCTAGGGCCGATGGGCCAGATCCCCCCCAGTCACTCCCTCCAGCTCTTCCAAGGGGACACTGGGGCCTTCACAAACCAGACAAAAGATTTACTCTTTCCATTGAGTCGTTGGTCTACCTTGTCTGAATGACCTCAACTGGCTTATTTTCTTTTTTTTAAATCCTTACCATCCAAAAAGATTCGTGTTTTATTGTCTAAATATTATAACTGGTATGAACTGGTTCTTATGGAGCTTTTCTACTGTAACTGAGTACTCAAATCGCTTTAAACCAGCAGTCCCCAACCTTTTTTGTACACGGACCGGTTTATGTCCGACAATGTTTTCACAGACTGGCTTTTAAGGTGTTGCATATAAATACAACAAAATGAAACCAGTACCAGTACCAAAAAAAGAAGATTTATTCATAACACACAGGAAAAGACCTGTGGAAACCAAGTAAACAATAAAAATTTCACACGTGATGTGGATTTTTATATTTCTACTTACCTCCTTTGTTTTTTGTCCTCTCCACTTTTTTTTTTTGTTCACCTTTGCCTTATCAGCATTTGTCTATTCAGTCTAGCCTAATGTGGATTTCGCTTATATATTTTTTTCATCTAGCCAGTTAGCGAGTATATTTTTTACCTGCCGTTATTGTGCATTTTTTTGGTTTTTGTTTATTTTGCAGTGTCCTTTTCTTTGAAAACCTGTTAATATTTTGTTGGTGTAGATTGGGAAGATCATCAACAGTATGTTCATTAATACATGCATATACATTCCAGATCTACAAAAAATGACACATAAAGCTACTTTCTCAAATTTCTACTTTTTTTCAGTAGTTAATCACCAGACAATTGACCAAGAACCAGCATCCATGACCATCCAAGTTGGCGACTCAGTGATGTTCAACTGTACAGTACACACTGGAACCTGTGACGAAGAACATAGCGTCTACTGGTTTAGACGCGGATCTCACCCAGGAATTGTTCACACATATATAAATACAAGTAAACCGGTCTCTGTGAAGTCTCCTTCACAGAGCTGTGTGTACCATTTGCAGAAAATGAACCTTAGCTCCGTTGATACTGGGACCTATTACTGTGCAGTGTCCTCCTGTGGGGAGATACTGTTTGGTAATGGAAGCAAGCTTATCATCAGCGATGATGTTAAAGACCGAGATGCTGAGGTAAAGATTTTAGTGTGGCTCTCTATCATTAGAGCCGGGATTCTCTTGATCTTTCTACCCTTGTGTATTTGTGTATTTGTCAGAAAGAACTGTTAATTCAATAAACTTGTGTTACGCAAAACATAAACACAAGTTTATTTGTTCAAGAAGAAAATAGATGAAGAGATGAACGGGTGTCAACATGTTCATGTACTCGCAATATTTGCCGTTGTACATTTTTATTTTTAGAATGTTAGTTTATTACTGTAAAGACTTTAAAAAAAAATTGGACGCAATTAGTAACACCCACCCAGACACAGGGCATTTCACAATCTGTATTATAGATTTCATACATTCTTTGTCATAATGATTGATTACATTTTCACATTGTGTTAGAGTTTGCTCATGTTTCATTTATATTCATTTTTTACATGAATACAGTCATTTTTTACATGACTGTATAAGTACTCGTGTGTAGTTAGTGTGTAGTTAGTTTGTTGACCATCCCTGTGTATATACATATAGTTGTAACTGGAGTGATAATATGTTTGTTGCTTAATAATTGTTAAAAATAAAGACGTATCAAGAAACTTGAAATTTCTTGTTTGACTTGTTTCTTTTAGTAAATGAATTTAACCCCCTTCATTCCTAATTCACAAACCATAAGCTCACACACACACACACACGCACGCACACACACACACACACACACACACACACACACACACACACACACACACACACAGCAAAATAATGCAAAGAACCAAATTTTTAAGACTGAGAATCCTTTGCAAACGGTAATAGTTAATTAGTAATCAGTAAGTTTCTAAGCAAAAACATAGCTTACTTTTCTTTTCTCGTTGTTTGAGAAGGGGAGATGTCATTGTATTGCATATCATGCTTAAAACCACTGATGTGTAAGAATAAAGTGAATGTGGAGTTTCAAACAAGCACATGACGTTTTGTTTAGGACTATGATAAGATCACTACTACCATTATTTTTTGCTATGTAGAGCACAAAAAACTGATGACGACATAACATATAGAAATGAGACTGATACCTAAATTCATTATACATCTATAATGTAAAAGCATAAACATAAAGTACGGTAGTACACAATATTTTCCAATACAATCATAATGTTAAATAGGATCTTGCTGATACTTCTGTAAGAAGCTTTCCAAGTCACAGTGGTACAATGGTCCTTTTTTTTTCCTGGTGTATTTCGATTCAGGTCTTTCAGTCTCTTTGACTGACTATGACATCAGAATAAACCACAGTGTCCTGACTGTTTTTTCACTGGAGATCTGCAGGTGGAAATTCTGGGAGCAGAAGACACTGAAGCATAGATGACTCCAGATCTACTCTGAAAAAACATGAAATTTCTATAGATACGTCACACATGTTCTGACTGCTTGGACAAAGAGAGACAACAGCTCACATTTTATTTTATGAGCTAGGTAAACCACCATTGGTCCTCATGTAGTTATAGTTCAAATAAAATGTCAACACTTTTATGCTTGAAATCCCTTGTCTGTAATAGCGTAGCAGTAAGTCTATTTATTCCCAAATAGCTAACATATTGCACTATAAAGCCAGTATTTACGTTGTTTTTGATTATGTACAAGGGCTAAAAACTATGACCACAAATCTGGCACAAAGGCTCACAACATTTTTCAAATTCTTAAGTCTGAGGTTGCATTTCCCAAAATAGCTGATGCATGCAAACAGGAGCAGACAGGAATTTCTAACACCAGATAACACCAAATAAAGTCAGCAGTGTAATGCATATGCATGTATAGATAGGTGGCAGTGTAGAAAGCAAATTCAAGAAAGCCAAAGAGCAGGCTGTAGGTGTGTTTGAGAGTCATAGAGACAAGCAGCAGGAAGGAGGGAGCTGAGCACACCAAGCCCACACCAAACCAGTGAAGCTCGTGCAGCCAATGAATCTTCAGTTAACTCCTGCATGACAAAATATAGCACAAAAGAGAGACACCTAGTGCCAGGATGATCTTGAGATAACCAAACGTGCAAAGAGGTGTAGCTCTCTCACAACCTTTAATTCATGTTTCAAAATGCCAATTTTCTTTCTATGAGAATAAACCATTGCAATGATTGTAATACACTGTCTACTAGGGAATAATCTTTCACCTTACAAAGCAGGAAATATAAGCCCTGTCTTCCTGACAAGAAATTTAAAGCTTTACACTCTTAAAATCTCAATTTCAAGAGATTAACTTGATTGACACACAAAAGTCCACTATTCTGAGAAAGTTTCTAAAAACTTTGATGTCAAGGAACCATGTTTGTTACTGCTGATGATTTATTCATCATCACTGAATTAAAGATTTTGAGTGACTTCAGGGATTTTGGAGACTAACTATAGTTTTTACTTAAGTGTTTTGGTAAATGCACGTGGACCTCTTATTGAAAGGCTAAAACTGACACATTTATACTGAGTATAGTATATTTTAGATCTAATCATTGGTATATGCAGTTTGCATTTAGGTTGTAAGGTATCTAACTAGTGTAGAAAGAATAATATGAGCTTTTTAAGAAAACTTTAGGGTATAAAACTGGCAGAATAAACAAAGGACAAAAGATACAAAAAACATTCATGCAATACTTGGCTGTCTTGTGGAGATCGATCAGATTCGGATGGTACTGTAAACAAAGATGTAGACAATCAGTGGTAGTTACTGTATATATTTGAATGTGAACATATAGAATGAAAGCATTATGTTCTATAAAGTGACATTTAGCTTCTCAGCTGGATAGATAAAGAGAGAGAGCATTCAGTATAAAGTATAATTTTACATACTTTTCAGGTCTTTTCTGTGATTCTTCCAATGTGCCCATGCAAGTAGAAGAGTCACTATCCCAAGGATAATATTTGAAAGCATCAATGCAATAAAAGCAGGGCTGATATCATGTAATTTGGTGACACGAGCAGAATAAAGAAGAAATAAATAATTACATTTACATTACATCAGCTTAGGTATGTTAGACTTACTGATACAAAACATGCACGTCTTACTGCGAATTTTGATTGTGGTTCCATTTGCAAACATTGTATGTCCACATGAAGTCACAGCACAATAGTAGGTCCCAGCATCGTCCAAGGTGAGGTTCCATATGAAGCGGTTATACACGCAGATCATTTCTCCACTTTCATTCCTCTGACATGTGTTCTCATTTCCAGATGAATAAATCATCTGTGGAGCAGAATTCTCAGAGTTTTTTTATCCATGTGATACTAGTATGTTCTGGTGCACACTGAGCAGAGTGAACTGAACAGCTGATAGTCACAGAGTCTGCTGACTGCACTGTCTGGGACTCTGACTGATGGATGACAGAGTCACTGATCAGGTTTGTACCTTGGAAAAGAAACCGTTGACCCAGTTATTAGCTTTGTAGTCAATTTGAGAGAAAGAAAAAAAGATAAATGAATGAATAAAAACTTTTGAAATGTAAACACATTGTACCTTTAATCAGGAGAAAGGTTCCTTGTCCAAATTCACACTTATTTAGTGTTAACACTCCACAGTAGTATTTACCAGTGTCGTCCCGTATAGTCTTGGATATATTCAGATGACTCTTGAAGCTTTCAGATTTTACTAAAAAAATGCTGAGACGGTTCTTTGAATATTGTCAGATTATAGAGAGTATCTGTTGAAGCCACTAGCTGCAGTCTTTTGCTAGTGGTCAGTTTGTACCACACTCTCATTCTTGGAGCATCGTGTTGAATGTGACACGTGATGGTAATTTTGTCTCCTAGTTTTACTGCTTGAAAGGAAACAGGCTGAAAGATGTCTATTAACAGTGCTTCACCTGAAATAAGCAGAGGAATAAGTAGCATAACATTCAGTTTTATGTATATAATGCCAAATAAAAAGATATATTATGAGTGGACTTTTGTAACTTACACAGAGACCAGAGTTGGAATACATTAAGAATGTAAACCATCATTTTTGCTGCTTCAAGCTTCCACACAGCAGATCTGACTTACTGAAGTGTCAGT